TAAGTGCTGATATATAACAGAAGCATGGAAATAATTTAATCTAAAATAGTGCAAGGTTTTTAGTAAAATATGACATTTAATTGAATGTTTTATATATTTTATAATTATGGACAACATATAGTAATATGGAAAATGGTTTATGAGAGCTCATTAAGTTTAAAAGCAGATGGCTGCCCAGCAGAGACGATGTAGGACCATGTGAATTATGTCTCCTGTGCACAGGGATGGGAAGGCCCCATGGGAAAGCGAGTGAGTAAATGTATCTGTGAGGATGATCTGACAGCTCTGTGTTCACCTGCTGTGAAGCAGCAGTGCTGCAGATTGGATCCCCCCCCCAACCTCATTGGAGCTTAAACCCCCACTGTGACAGTGTTAAGAGGGTGGGAAATCCTAGTATGGTAATTAAAAGGTGGGGCCTTGAAGAGGTGGTTAGATTGTAGGACCGTGTCTTAGTGAAAGGATTAAAAGTGGTGGTCATGGGCATGGTTTGATGGGCTTAAAAGGAGAGTGAATGAGGAGGTTGTTCTCTCTGCTTCTGCCATGTTTGCCGTGCGATATCCTGAGATTGTAGGACCGTGTCTTAGTGAAAGGATTAAAAGTGGTGGTCATGGGCATGGTTTGATGGGCTTAGAAGGAGAGTGAATGAGGAGGTTGTTCTCTCTGCTTCTGCCATGTTTGCCGTGCGATATCCTGCCATCACTGTCACTACCACCAAAACCTTCACGAGCTAGACTTTGGATTTCCCAGCTTCTGAAACTGTAAGCAATAAATTTCATATTCTTATAAACTACCCAGTTCCAGGTATTTCGTTATAAGCAAGAGAAACAGACTAATACAAGTGGTATATTGTGCAGTAAGTTAAGCTGGGGTAGACGAACGCTGTCCCCCCACTTCCTTCCCACACTTGCTGGTTTTCCCCCTGGTCTGTGTTCACACCCCATCCCTAGGATGAAGGCTCCCGAGGGCATCCCCAAGGCTAGAATTACTGGGTACACAGGGAGCACTGAGTAAATATCTGTTGAGTGAATCCCAGCCTAGGATTTTACTTGTGTATTTGTCTTCAGATTTTTGTTAAGAGACTCGCAGTCCTGCTCACATTCCACTAGCAATAGATTTTAAAGACCACACTTTAAGGACATTAAAATTTTATTTCATAAAAATCACAACATGTTTTCAGTACTTAGTGGCATTCATCATCTTTCCTGTGCTATAAACTACTTTAAATACACACTTCTTTACAATTTCTTATTTTGGCCAAATTATGTGTAGATAATAAAGTACTGCGGAAGCCAAAATATATAGCCTATAAATAAAGTGCACTACTTTCATTCATTGGAAATAAAAGGTTTTGACAGGTTTTGTTCATTACTTCTCTTGATATATTAGCTATATAGAGTGAATATGCTGAGAGTTAAAACACGAAGAATTCTATCTAAAATAAAGACAGTTCTTTACTTGATTTGCTTCACCATAAACTAAAAAGAAAAAAAAAATCCAAGTGTCAATCTTAGGAATACAGTGTTCTCACTTCTAGGTGCTTGCAGGCATGACAAGGATCTCATACTGTGCTACAAGTGATTCTGGAACCACAGGACACGCTTGGAGCGTGGCTGTGCACACTCTGAACGCAGGTCTCTGCAGTGGCCTTGCCCGCATCAGCCAGGTTTGCCACCCCACGGTATGGCCACAGGGCCTGCACAGAGGGTAAACAGCATGGTGCTGAGTCGGCTGGTGCAGCGGAAACCCTGCCTGAGGGAAGAACAGAGATCGCCCTGCAGACATGCTGTCCACACCCACCCCCACAGTGGAGATGTCTGTGGATGAACCGCTACACTCGGGATCAGGGCGAGTTACATTAAGAAGCCACCAGGTAGGGATGGAAAAGGTCCATAGCACTTTGTAAAAACTTCCTCTGAAATGAAGCAGACGTGGGGGGA